AATCATAAATGTCTGTTAGCATTTCATATTTGTATATGAGATAAATATCTGTCAGCAGGCGCTGGACCAGGTAGGAGTCTCGACATCTGGCAGTCAAGAAGTGAGGCTTTTGATTGTGTGGTTTTTGCTTTTATTTTTGTATTTAAGCCTTTCTCAGCTTTGAAAACAGCAAGGCTGACACTCTTTATGTAATGTGTGGTACTTTAAAACCTCAAATGTCACCCATCCCCTTGCCCTTTTGGTGAATTTGTGCATTCTCTGAATGCTTGAGTCAGAGAGCAGAAGGAAATGTTGTGTTCACTTCAGTTAATGAATTTAAATAAAAACCCCTCTGGTTATTGATCACAGCAAATACTCAGCTTCTGTGTTTTTGTAGAAATCACTTGGAGTTTCACGTATTTAATCACGCCACTAAGAGAGCCTATTGACTGGATTCAGCTTGCATGCTGTAGACTCCAGCGTGATCTGTGGGAAGAACCAGCATCTCTGAGGAATGCATCCAAGCATTTGGGTGAGGCATCTGTCTCTCTGCGTTGGCAGTATGGAGGGTTTTGGGGTGTCTCTGCAGTTGCATGTACTGTTGGCAGTGCAGGGACCTGGCCAGTCTGCACCTCAGACTCTTACCCTCCTTTAAGGCTGGGATGTGCTGGGAGGAGTGGAGCTCTGAGGGTGTCTGTGATATGGATGGCCTGTGTGCTGGGATTGAATACTGGATAAATCAGCCACCTTTTGATGATAGATAGTCAGGAAAGGTTGTCTTGATTTGAACGTGATTCTGAGCCTCTTTGTTTCTGGTGGCAGTCATATAGAAGGGGCAAAGGCTTTTACCATTCAGCTGGTGGTTTGGTTTTTTTTTGTTTGTTTTGGTTTTTTTTTTTTTTTTTTTTCATGTAGGTGCTCAGAGAGTGTACAGCTGGTACCAGCAGAGGATCATTGCAGTAAGAGCTACTTAGAAAGAACCAACCAACAAACCTAAAAAAACCTAAGGTGCAGAGGTTGTCCCTGACTGATCTGCCACACTTGACCATCCATGCAAGGGAGGAGAGCACCTGTGTGCCTCTGCCATGCCGAGCCTGGCTCTGCAAGGGCGCAGGTTTGCTTGTCTTCTGTTTTGTGTTTCCTGTCTCTGGTTCTGTGAGCAGAGTACAAACCATAATTGGAATAAGATGCCCTTGACAAATCTGACGAGGATTTGTGTCATGATTGACAAAGGAGTCATATGTGTATGACTTATATTTGGAATATGTAGTTACATGTAAAATAAAATGAAAGGCAGAAGCGAAATAATTTTCCTTGTTTGGGAAAGCTAAGCAAGGGTTTGTTTCATTTCTGCTGGTAGGGAGGATGACACTAGGAAATAGCTAAATTCTGTATCTATTAAGTTCTGATGAAAACTAAAGCATATGCAAACATGCTGCTGTTCCTTATTGCCTGAGAAGGACTGTGATCATCATGTTTTGTGACCAAAGATATATTATTGAAAGAACAAAAGTCAGTTTGGTTTCTTTTCATGCTCCTTCCCCCCCCCTTAGACTTTTAAACCTATTACTGGACTTTGGAGTTCCCATGTGCAGTTAGCAAAATGGTGCATTTTCTGTATAGAAGCCACATTTTAAATTACAGAACTATGTACCAGCAAATTATGTAGTACCTTTCCACAAATCACTGATCACATAATAACGGTATGAATTTCTGAGGGAACAGTAACGTGTTAAGCACTTAAATATCCCAAGTTTTGTTTGTTTCTCATCTGGCATCACAGCCAGAGAAAATGAGATATGCTGTATAGTTGATCTTTGTCCAGTCCTTTTCTAAAGGCTGAAACATATTTTCTTCGGTGCATCACTGCCTTTTGGTAAAATGAGGTGAGAAAGTTCCATTTTCTGTCGTGAGCCAACCAAAACTCAGCATGTTTTCAGGGTCCAATTTTGAATTTTTGTTCACATTACAAATCGATGTGAAACCGCAACTATTGAGGCTTTCTGGCACGTACAAAACATTTGTTCAGCTAGAAAATGAGTGGGGGAAAGGAGCCAGCAGTGACATGTCCAGATGGGAGCACGCTGGAGTGCTGCGAAGCAGAACACCCAGCAGCGGGGAGTGGGGAAATGCAGTCCATCATTGTTCTGGGTGCAGGGCATCTGTGAGAGCGGGTGTTGCGGCTTTGTTGAGGACCATCACTTCTGAGATCTGGGTTATTTAATGCCGATGCTTTGTGAAATGTGATGCTTTGATGTTAGAGTTAAAAAAAAAAAAAACCAAAACAAAACAAACCAACAGACTTTTTACCAGTAATTAATGTGTTATTTTTGGAAAGGACAATCTTCCAGTTAACAAAGTTTGTAAAATTGTAACCGGTCTTTACATGGTCTTCAGTTATTTCTAGGTACCATAGCCCATGCCTGCAGCAGTAGCCCCAGGCTGCTCCGGGGTTGTCGATCATTAGTGGTGGGGAGGACTTTTCTCCCACTGTGGAACCTGCACTGGGGGTACATCGCATGGAGGGGCTCTCAGGGTTTGTACATCCAGTCAGGTTTCTTGGTGAGATGTGGGGAGTTTCATATTGCTTGCTTTCAGTGTTGTTTCTGAATTGCACCCTATGTATGTTGTTGTTTGGTATAATGAGAGTATCTTTTTTTGGACTCCAGAATCAGTATAGACTGGATTGTTCTGTGCAGAAATTTGAAGATAGGATGGGGTGGAATAGTTCATGTGTAACGTGTTGGCGTGTTAGTGGTCTGCCGACAGCTTCAGAGACCACATTTGTCCATCTGCTTTGATAAGAAATTCTGTAAATTACGAAGTCGAAGACTTTTTAACCATTATAATTTTTTACCTCATTTGTTACTGTTTGATTGTTCAGACATCAGGAAAAAAACTGTGTTTAGTTCCTTCTAAACTCTGGACCAACTCTACCATAATGGAATACCGCTGAGATGTAGGATTACTATGAGAATTATCTGTAGTATCACTGTTCCTGAATGCATATTTGGTGTCAAAAGGGGAGAGGTGATGTGGGGAAGAACCTCAGTATTATGAAACTGTTCTTGTTTTAAAGTTGCATAATAAGAAAAATGTTCTACTGCTGTGGACCTCTCTGTTAGAAATGAGGACTCTATTTAGTTCAGAGTCTGTATTAATAAAAATTTACTTTTGTTTGCCCCCATTTGTTTTATCTATTTTCTTTAAATAGCCATGAGTTAAGCTTTGCAGCAGGACTGGTAAGATCCTGCTGACTTTAGTGAGGCCTGACATAGCCCATAAAGAATGTCGGGTATTTATGTTAGTAAATGTTGTAATTTTGAAATTTATCACATGCTCATGAATAACATTCATCCTTCTCACCCATTTCTCTGGAATTATTAGGCATATACATGAAGTAGTGGCTTTAGGAACTTTGCTGATAATTGGATTAACAATTCAGTATGCAGTAATTAGGCTTCTTTTAGCTGAAAATTGGAAATTAAAACAATGCTTATCTTATTGCTATAATCCTGTGCTTTTGAATATTGATACTGGATCCTTTATTTTAAAAAAAAGTGTTACCATGTAACACAGTCATCATTCTTATTGATTCAGAATATAGTTTTTTCAGTTCACTTTCATATACTATATTCAGAGTTGTGCTGGAAACTTTAAGGGTGCTTTAAAGTATAACTTAGGGAAGTAGGAGAGAAGCCTATATTTTTTTTCCAATAAAAATTAACTTTTGAAATTAATTTATGAATTGTGGAGTTTGTTTTTAAGTTCCTCTTAAGAAAAAGGAAAGTTTAGGTTCCCTTCCAACCCACTGTTCAAATGTGTGCTTAACTTTTAAACATCAGAGTAGGTTCACTGACTTCAGTAAGTACCCATGCCACGAGGCTTTGGACAAATTCACTCACCACAGCTTCTTTGGGAGCTGCTGCAGTGGGGCAGGTGCTGGGCTGAGGGAGCCGGGGAGCTCTCAGGATCCGTGCTGATGGGCTTTGAACACAGCGGTGTCAGCGGCAGCACTGCTAGCCGAATTAAATTTGCTGAACCGCTGTCCTTGCAAAGCCTCGAGTGCTGTAATTTAGAGAAGTTGTAATGGTCAAAGATTGCTCCAAAGCGGCGAGAAAGCAATTTTCCAACTATGTCCACATTACTGGTGTGACCTGTTGGCCACTTCCATTTCTGCCCTTGAGAAAGTTTTGCTTTTATAATGGTCCTCAGCCTGGTATTGCTGTAACACATACCGACTGTTTTGCCTATCCACCGACATAAATGCGGTCATCTAAGCAAACATGGTCCAAATACTTCCTGTTACAGCAGGACTGAAAGTCGGTCTGAACAAATTTATGTTCAAAACAGTGCAGAAAGGGGGTTTTCCTTTTCTTTTTTCCTTCGGGGAATGAGGATGCAGTACGGAGGTATCTGTCCTTGAAGCCCCTTCTTATTCTCTCTTTTTAATTTTGCTAATTAATTTCTCCCAAAACTGGCAGAATGACAGAAGTCTCATAGTTGCTGAATTCCTTCCACCTTTGGAGCAATCCAGGACTGGGTGCAAATGACCTTATCAGTTCGCAGAGATGCAAAAAGGCTTTAGGACATTTGTCTAATTATAGATTGCTTTTTCTAATCCATTTCTTCAAGATTAATACTCTTCCAGATGTATCAGTTTACGAAGTGAATTCTGTTGATATCCTGCTAGATAGAAAACATGTATTTGAATAGTTATAGCTACCTAAATATATTTGGCCTCTAATTAAATTTTAGTAGTAGTACATGATATAACAGTTAGTCTGTACATACATGATATGCTTTTAAACTAGCTACATAAAATAAACTGTAGATATCAGAAATATCTTAACTTTTCCTTCTTATAAAAAGTGTATTTTTTTTGGTCATTTGGTGTTGATTAATAGACTGTTGTAGAAGATTGAGTAAGGGTATGTTATTACAGTAAAATGGTATTAAAAAAAGTTGACCTGAATCCTGCATTTGTAATTTTTGTGACCTTTATGTTCCTTCCTCATTAGAACTATGCAGCACTGATACAGCAACAAATTGATGAGGACAAACAAAACTTGAGAGAAAAGACTTTATATGGAATCCAGCTCACAGAAGAAAAACTTAATGACTTCCGTGACGAACAGATTGGGCAGCTGAAGGAACTGATGGACGAGGCTACCAAACCTAATAAAAAAATCACCATTTCTGAAGACTCAAAACACAAAAACTAAAAGGTTTTAAAAATTGTTTTAATGCATATGAAATAATTTTGAAACTTCCTTTTCCAGCTGGACTTGAATGTGGTTTCTGTGGCATAATGGGCACTGCCTTATGCCCTAACTTGTCTGAAACGAATGTCTCTGGCTATTTGGCTTTCTATGCAAGAATAAATATTAAAATGGGGTAATCACAACAATTTTCTGTTAATTGCAGTATTTCTTTTCTCCTAATGGAAGGTGGAGACTTAAAGAAATTGATAAAATTAAACTGACATTTTTAAAATAGGAAGGTTTTTTTTATTTTTATCATAGCACCCATAGGGAAAACATCTTTCAGTTTGTATGTCATCCTCTGGCTAGAAAAGATGCAATTAGCATCTATTTTCTGATGTGGATTCAGTAGACGAAGGTATGGTACTAGAGTGGGCTTGGCTTGATGGAAAGAAATGAGCAGTATTAGAAAAACATACTGCTGTTGAAATGGAAAGTTGGCTTTCTTCTCGAGCTTTATTGTGAAATGTGCTTTAAAAGATGTAGTTCATTATTAAATTGACCTTGAAGGAACCACCAGCTTATGAAGAAAATTCTGCATTTTTTCAAAACTAGACTCAGATTATTGCTAGTATCTAAAATTTTTAAAAACTGTTAATGAGTTGGTTGTGCTGTACTTAAAATTCAAGGGCTCTTTAAAAGCTCAGTATCCCATATAATTCAATATTTTATATAGACTAGAATTTGCAAACCCCTTGATCACAGAAATTATCCTGTTGATAATACTGTGTGACAAACATTAGTAATTTATTTGTAATAGGAAGTCTTCATCAGGAAAATGTGTACCCATTGTAATACTCATACTACTGGGACTAAAAAAAATTCTGTTTTTTTATCTGTTAGGAAAAAAACACACCACTTCCAGTGCAAAAGGCAGCTTTCATCTTGTATTCCAAACCTAGTTTTATATTACTAGTTTTGTTCTATTTCTGGACCTTTCCCTGTCAGTTACCCACAGTGTGTTCAAGACAGCACAATTTCTTTCTTCTTGGGGGATAACAGCTTTGACAAGTAAGCACATTTCCATCTGTCTCAAGTTGTAACAACATGCTGTTTGCCAAAGATACGCTCCTGGATCCTAACGGGGTAATTTGGGGAGCAGCCTGCTTCTCTCTCCCTTACCTCTCTTCCAAATCCTTTGGTAAGATTTTAGGTTGCAGGCTGCTCATTTCTGTTCAATCGCAAGAGTCCTGTGTGAGGAAGACTTCTAGTTGCTTTTCTGTGTCTTCCTCTGGCAGCCCTGACCTCTCTTGCTTGTGCTGTAGGAGGTTCTTGGTGCTTCAAGGGCATATTTGGAGAGGATGGCAGCTCCCTTCTGGCCTGCTATGTACCTCGATCTTGCCCCAGCATTAGAGTGGGAAGCTGATGCACTGTGCATGCAGGAAGCTTGAAAATTGTCTCTGATGCTGCCATTCACACATACCTGAAGCTTTTTTTCTTCTTAAACTTCAAAGTCTAAAAATCTAATCCAACTCCAGAGTTTAGGGCATAAGGATGCATTCTGTTGCACTTCCATCAGATATACAGTAACCAGTAATTTGCATCACTAGATCTACTCGGTTTTACTACCAAAAGCAGTGTTTGAGTGTTGACAGTAGAGTTTGCTTCCACTCCTTGATTGCTAGTACCTACTTTCCATTCAGTATCCAAGTTGCTTCAAATTTGTTTCAAATACTGCAAATCAGAGCAGTTATGTTTTTATCAACACATTTAATGAAACTTGTTTGTTCAGTGAAACTAGATGGAATACTTGTTTCGCGTCTTTCTGCTCATGTATGTACCTAGATAATGCACATTTCTAGAGGCTAAATTAATTTACAATGAAAAATTGCTACTTGGTATGAAAAATGTAAGCTTATAATGAGACCTAAAGTGAATTGGAAGTGAGGATAAACATCTTCACACCCACTGTCCCTTTTCTAGCAGATCCAACGACTTTTTTTCTTTCATTCACAATGGTAGCTCGTATTTTGTACAACGGTTGTATTCTTGTTTAAAACAACTCTTGGAAAAGCCAAAATTCCACAGTAGGAAGGAAACATCTTTAGATTGTTGGCTCCAAGACAGCCAGTGCTAATAGCAAGGCATGCTCTGATCTGACCCAAGCAGTGCTTATGTAAGTGGCGGGCATGGGTGGCCCCACAGAAGTTTTGCAATGCTACCACAGCCTTGCATTAGTGAAATTCTTTGATTTACAAGTGTGGTTAATGACAGTTAAGGAAGACAATGGGCTTCTCATCCTGTCTACAGAAAGGTAGTGACAAAGATGCTTTTTCTTTAATTTTAATTTTTGAAGTCATAGGATACCTTTTGTGGAGAATTTTACACAGGGTCTGATGGATAATGAACAAAGAAAGCATCCATCAAAGTTACTTCAAAACTCCAAGCAGCATGCTATTTTAAATGGCAGAAGAGTTGCTTAGAAAAAAATAAACTAATGCCATGAAAAATGGCTATGATCACTTTAGAAATGAGTGTATTCATCTGTGTTCTCTGTGCATTGGTATGGATTGTTATGCAACTAAAAACTGAAAAGCTGCTACCACCCTTAAAAGGCCTCTCTCCATTCCGTTTATCCATTAAGAAAAATCCTTTGTATTTTGTTGATCTTAAATCCATGAGGCCCTTCTTTATCACTGTTTTAGTTCCAGTTCACTGGTTAATTTGGCTAAACCTAATCTGTGGTAACACTTTACGTGATTGCCTGGCAGCTGGTACAAGTTGGAGAGAGCTGATGTTTTAGATAAGTGGAACAGGCACAAGCTGAAGTCTTAACAAGAAACAAACAATTTTCAGAAATCTGTCTCATTAAAAAAATACTAGTTTTGATATGCAAAATATAAAGTTATACATCGTAAAAAAAAACCAACTAAAAATGTCATTCTTCTAGTGTTTTATTATTTCTATTATGTGGGTTTGCTTTTTTAACTGTCTGTCCAGCAAGAGCTATTAGAATGTGATGTTTCTTGCTTAAAAATAAATATTTTAACATACTGAAGGTAGGATTTATGAAGGAGTTTCATTCCTGGCTATTTGGGCTTCCTTTAATCTTTTTGAATTATTAGTGGACTTTCTATTTCTTTATCTTGGATATGTATTTATGAGAGGCTGGTTATTCCTTGATGATTCAGTGGCCAAATCTTCATCGGTTTATAGATAAAAATATTGAACAGTTAGTGAAGGAGCAATACCACGCCTTTTCCACAGCTCTGCCCTGGGAACAGACTTGACAGGGCTGAGTTCTTCCAGTTTTTCCAGTGGTTTGTGCCTACCAATTAAGGCACATAAAGATCAGAATTTAATTCTACTTGGATGCAACCTTATGTAAGTGTAATACAAAGTATTCTTTGTTCATTGAAATGGAGAGCTATAAATCAACACACAAATTCAATGTATAAATTACTAAAAACTGAATGGTTTTGCCACGTGTAGTAGTGTGTGTTATGAGTAAATGTCAGGTGTTTCAACAAGTCCATTTATGTGATATATGATCCTGTGCAACAGATACGTGTGTCTGGGGAGTTCAGTGTTTAATCTGCTCTCCAACAAGTTCAAAGCATGTCCTTGAGACTATAAAACAAGAATCCTTATTTAATAAAATGACCTTTAGTTACTGAATATCTGTCAGCTTGTTATAAATGCTGAGGAACACTGAGACAAGTGTTTATTACTACTGTAAAGGCCTCACTAAGTAGTTTGTTGAAATTCCACCATTTGCAACACCATTTCCAGCACAGATGAGCCTTCTGTTTTGTGCCAATTACACTTCTAGAAGGATGAAGTGAGATCTAAATCATCTGTTAAGGGAGCTAACGTATTTACCATTTTTTCCCCAAAGATTCCTATTTTTGGTTTTGGCTGAAAAAGCAACTAGTGCAGAATATAAAATAGTCGTATTTGTTTATCCTGAGAGATTAACATCAAAACCAGTAAAATATGTAGCAGAAAGTAAGCTGGCAGTACTCTGCTGGGGATGTAGCAAAGGCAGGATATCACTTAGCTTTATTCTGGTGGAATAATCTACAGAATCTATAGCATAGAAGGTCTGCCAGGGCAGCAGAAACTGGCCATGCTCTTCCCTTGTACAAGAGACCCACATCACAAATATGATGGTGCAGTCAGGAACCAGTGAGTAACCCGAGAGGGTGATGGACTGTGGTAGATCTTTCCAACTGGCTCTGCCAAGCGGACTGGGGTTTAAACTGTCAGTGGCCGAACCCAGGCCCACCGTCTGCCAACATCCAGTCCTGGGCATGTGGCCCTGCCTGGGGTTGAAGAGGGCTGCTAAACCTGTCTGAAGTTTCCCTTTCAGGGTGCTGCAGAGAGGCAGTAAGGAGCTGTGGACCAATTCAGCTGATCACAGACTGTGTTTCCTACTCACAGAGGGATTCCTTCTTCGTACATCCCCTCTGCTACTTGAGTGCAGGTCAACATCATACTGTCATCAGTGAAATCATCCTTGATTATCTTCTTCTAAGTTAAAAGAACTTTTCAAAGGTGAATGAGATATCCTGTTAATCAAAGACCCAGTTAGAACTGATTTGAGAACTTCTATTTCTTTCTATTTAATTTTATAATGTGAGCATTTGCTACTGCGTGGTAGGAAAATGGACCTGAATATCTTAAAATTACAGTTTCTTAGTCTCTTGGTCAAAATCTTTTACCACTGGAAAACTTCAACTTGAGATGATATTGTACAGCGCTCCCAGAATATACCCTCAGGTACAGTAAAGAGGAAAATGTGTGGGGCTTTTCTTTCCAAATGGTGAAAGTCAACTCTTCTGCTTTGTTTTTCCTTTTGAGTTAAATTATGCTATTGCTGTCCAGTTCAGCTATTCCAGATTAACATTGTCAAATGGAAGATCAGCTTGGAAAAGCAATTAAGTAGATTTTTATCTCCTCTGAGGTGCAATAAGGTTTGTTCGAATGCATCTGTATTTCAGCCTGCTTTTGTCCTTCTTGTTGTGCTGTTAATTGCTGTTTTCATATGGTGGTACTTTGCTCAGATTGTAAGAGAGAGAGAATCAACATCTTTTGTACAAATGACTTGGATGCCTTTAATGGAGTGGGACTAACACGTGTTGCTGCAGCGGCGTGGGCAGGAGCAGGGCACATACAGCCACAGACCCTGCCTGGAGGCTGCCAGGCAGGGGAGGAAAGAAGATTTAGGAAAAACTGGCTTGACGAATAAATAGAAAGGTCTTCCGAGCCGCTCTTGGTACTTAAAGGTATTTTACCCCAGAGTAATATGCTCTGCCAAGCATGACTATCACGCCGAGTACCAAAGCCATGGCAGAGGTCTTGGTGCCAGAGGTTGACTGGGACTGTGGGGTCCAGTCTTCCTCAGGCTTGAAATTCCCCAGTCTGTCCTGGGGAGTTCAATTTGTCTGTCACAGGTTCCTTGAATTTTTCTCCTGAGCGTTCAGCAATTTTAGTGTTTCAGGAACACACAGAAAGTATAAAAACTGGTTAGCTGCAGGAGATGGCAGTCAGCCGTGGCTCTCGCCTTCCCCGGGCTCAGAGGTGCAGTCTGAGAACAAGTGGCACTGCATAATGTCATGTTTTCACCATCACATTATCCTTGTCTTGCATCCTGGAGCTCAGGGAAGCTTCTCGGGTCTCACTTGGACCCTGCTACTCGCCCCAGTAGCCTACTATTAAAACTGCAATGAGCAAGTAAGTTAGGTAACATTTTAACCTCTTGCCAGGCCTCAGGTGAGACTATAGACTTGGAATTGTAAAACAGAGGAAGGAAAACACTTTTCATTGTTGCTATGGAGACTGGAGTTTATGTAGTAATGACTTGTTCTGTTTCCCATCTCCTTGATCTTATGGCAAAAAAAAAAAAAAAAAGGAACACAAAAAATCACTGACAAAACCTCTGGTATATGAAATTACAATTTGAGTGACCTCTCAGCAGTATCGCAAAAGAAAACAGAGATGTCAGGAGTAGAGAAAAAAAAGTCTTTGTGTCAAGACAGTCTCTTTTTTCAGAGAAGGAACTAGAGCCATAGTGAACGCAAGAGCAGCTAACTACATGTTGCAGGTCCTTCAAAGCATCCAGTGTTCCCTGTCCAGAGCCATTGCTCCAGCCCCTCCACTCATGCACTCTGGTCACAATCAGATCCTCAGAGAACAATGTGACACTTAATAAGACCTGCCCAAATTTTCTCTATAATCCATGTCTTTGAACAAGAGAGAGGTGGATTTTGGGACTTTACCTTCTCCTAAATGGCTGTAGATGAAGTCTTCCCTTGCTAGTCCACCGCCCGAGGCAGAATCTGCTGCAGGAGCTGCATGGCAGTGTAGTGAGGCACAAGTGTATCTGTTCCGTGTGGGCATGTGATCAGTGTGGGTATGATGAGACTGCATGAAGTCTGTACCCTGCTCTGTTGCAGATCAAAGCATGAAGTGCGTCTGATCTCACACTGCTACAGTAAATAGATTATTGCAGTATTTGCTTAGATATAGTTTTGAAAGCAGCTCAATGTTCAAAAAATGTCACATCCTAAGCATAATAGATTGCCCTTTAAAAAAAAAAAACAAACATATCCACGCCAAAAAGTGAGACTCTGCCAGACTAAAGCTATTTTGATGTCACAGGATTTAAGCCCTGGAGTGGAGGCACAAGGCATCCCTAACACAGTGGTCAAACAGGTTTCAGAGCATCATGGAGAAATACCTATTCTGATTTATGAACACTGAAGTCCTGTGCTGAAGGAGCAAAGAAAGTGGCCACAAGGCCCCATCCCTAATGGTTCTGATCCATCAGCAGCCTCTTCTGGTTGTCATGATTCGGGACATGCCTGAACCCCTGTGCTTTCCCGCAGTGACGTGTTAGTCTGGAAACAGCAGCCCACCAAGTGGAGATGCTCCAGCATGAGTGAATCAGATGGAATTAACTTCTCAATTTTCTCTTCTTTTTCTCTGTTCACATTGGTTCTACAAAGCCACAGCTGGCTCCCAAAGCAAGAGATGGCCTCCTAGCCATTCTTAAACATCTACTATAGCCTTTAGGCATTAAGAGCAGCCATTAAGAGGGTGTGAGGACTTCTGTCCTGAGTGGCAGTGATTTTAAGAAAGGCCAATGGCTTTTAGAATCAAAAGAATAAACAGAAGTGAGATACCAGGGGACATGTTATAGGAGTTTACTAGTTTGATCCCTAATCCCAAACTGTGGTAGGGATTTTACTAGGTATCACAATAAAAGCGCACTAAAAGCTATACAGTGAGACAAAGCAACAAGGAATATTGGCCTGGAATGTCAGGGTGGTACTTGGAGTTAGGTGCAAACCTGTAAAAGCTATTTAGAAGTTATTGACATCCTACAGTGTGGGTAGTTATTTTGAAACCAATATTCAGCAAATTTATAGGCCAAAATATAATTTCATCCATCTCAAAAACTGGATGAGCTCTAAAAGTCCATGTAAAGATCAATCTCGGAGGAAGGGAGAGTAAAGCAGATCCTGAGAAAACATCTAGAGAAGTGAAAGGAAGCTGTGGGAGACGTGCAGGAGGTCCTTCAAACCCCAGAGTGTCTTCAAATGCCAAGTGCAAGTCAAGAAATTGGTATTACCTTGAAGTCAGTTGTTCTTGCCTCTCGCAGTGAGGTACGGTGCTTTTGCTCTGTGGTGCAATCCAGGCAGAGCAGGTCGCACGCAGGCTGGAGCTGCTGCCTCTTCTGCTCTTACCTACAACAAATCTTTGTAGCTTATGAGTGACCAGGGAGTCAAAGGAGTTTCTGAGAGAAAATCCCAAACTTTGAGGGACAAAACCTGCTTTGCTGACTTTCCATGTATTGTGATAGTTAGGCTGTGGCATGAATTTCAACTTCAGTATCTTCATCTTGACCTGGCTTTTTTCCTTGGTTATTCCTATCAGACTGGGGGGGTAGGGTTGTTTTGATTTTTTTTGTTTAATTCTACGAAGTTGAAATTACCCTCTGGTATGGGAATCCCAAATGATCAGCTTTGCTGTTCTTCATATTTCGTTATGCTTAATTCACCTTTTTATTATTGTAAGAACTACTTGATGATTTGAAAAATGTAACTGCTTCTTTTCAAATTTGGGAGCAATTACAAAAACTGATGATGAATGTTCTTAAGACCACTATAAAGAAGTTCCTGTAAGTAACTAATACATTAGAAATTAAAAAATGCCTGGGCTGTACTCCAGAAAAATGAAAAATACTTGGAAAATTAATAATGTTATTGCTTACTCCTGAACATAATATGTGTAGCAAGAGATCTGTGCAGCTCTTTACACATGTCACATGAACTTTATGTGTGATTTACAATCACTTCTGGGTCTCATCATTACCACATAACCCCTTCTATTAAAACAAACAGATCACTACGTAATTAATTATGGTGTAGTCATTTGTAAAAGCAAAGCTTTGTTCCCTGCCTAAAGGGAGCTGGGGAGAACTATGAACAGGAAATATCAGTGCTACCTGTGGGATTCAATTACTAATTTCCAATAGCTGTGATGCTTAACAGTGTATTGCTGTAGCACGAATGTTTTGGGAACATGATGCATGATGCGTAGCCATGATTAAAAGATAAACCACATGCTCTGAGTTCCATTTGGCTTCTTTCTAAATCTGTTATCCCTGGATGTCACACCCTTGCAGCATCCTCTGCAGCCCAAATGAGTGCTTGTGCTGGTGGGAGCTGGGGAGCATCCCCATGTGGGAAAGGGGGACCCATCCCCAGAGCCATTCCCTGCGGTCCCCAGTCCCAACACCTCCCTGCACAGTGGCCAGCTTCAGGGGGCTCGGGGCACCCACTTTTGTCCTCTGCAAGGCAAGGGAGGGCACTTCTGGCATGGCACAAAAAGCCACGGAGGGAAATCCTAACGTATTCCTGCAGGGATTTGCCCATTGCACTCAGGGGGCCAAGGTTTGGGCTGCAAAGGGTTCACTTCCCTGTGCAGCACCCTGTGCATAGCATCTCCTGACTCTTGTGGTGTACCCACTGTCTGCCTTAACCTTCCCTGTGGGGAGAAAAAAATGGAAGAAACTGAAAATTGCATCAGACCAAATCCAGTCCCAATTGTGTTTGTTCTGACTCTGTTTTTTCCAGTCTGAAGGTGGCATTTCTTTACCAGAACTCCTTGCTTTTCAGCTGAAAAAACTGAAAGACTGACTAGGAGAAAAGACAGTCCTTAGTTCTGCTCCTTTGCAGGTAAGCAAACCTGCTTAAGGTTTGCAAACCTTCTTAAGATTATTAAAATTGATGCAATTTGGCAGTAATGTCTGAAGCTTCTGGAAACTTGGGACCCACAGCTCTGGGCTCCACACAGAAGGTCCTCTCTGTCCAAATGATCAGGGGCCTCCAGTGTCACTCCAGGGATCTGCGTGGTTTTTCTGATTTATTTTTAACGTGCCACAGAGGGGATTATAAAGGAAACTTTGTACCATCTGTCCATCCTGGACTGCAAGTGAGCCTTTCTGGAAATTACTCAAACTCTTTGGTGTGGAGGGGCTGCTCAAATGTTGGTTACCTGTGAACTGTTTGTCCATCAACTCAGGATCCAATATGCTATTGCTGCCACTCCTCAGGCATTTACAGATTGAAGACCAAAGCATTTCCAGGTTGATTTTTTCAGCCACAGGGCACTGCATAAGGCCTGTAACACCAACTTTTAAAAGAGAATGGCCTTAAGATGTCATGTCTTTAAATAAAAAATGAACTTTTAAATTAACATTGACAATAAGTCCTAAAACAGGCTTTTTTTTTTTTTTTTTTTTTTTTAGAAACGATTCTCACTCCCTGTGCCAATGGAAAGATCTATTACTTATCTCAGAGCAAGTACCAACATCTGCTGCATAAAAAGCACATCTGCTCAGTGGGGGGAGTGGGGGGTAGGCACAGCCATCACCCTTGGAGGGCATAGTAAGGGCTGGGGATAAACAGATGTAAGAGGCTGCGGAGGGTGTTAAGAGGCAGTTGGTACCACTGCTCTCTGGGCATCCTGCAGCATGCACTGCTTCCCTGCCCCGTGCCACCCCCGGTCAGCCTCCTTCAGCATGGAGGAGAAGGCTTCCCGAGACCCAGGAATGGGCATCGTCTTTGCTGTAAATACAAAGGGTTTTTTCTGCTCTTCTGCCCAGAAGACATTCCATGAAAATTCAGAGCTGTCACAGAGGCTTGGGGTGGCGTGCTGGTGAATACCTTGTCCGATCAAGGTTTTAAGTGTATTTTCTTCCCCTTGTCAAGAGGTGGGACAGATGGCTCCTCCTAGGCTCTGGACCGCAGGTCTTTGGTGTGCACCATGCTTTAGTGGCATTTGGAAGTGGTTGTAAGAAACAATTTATAGTATTTGGCATCGTTCTATGGAATATTTATAGAGGTACTATATTCCAGTGAATTGTATTGCTGGCTCATGCAATTCAGATGATAAAAATGCCCTTTGTAATCTATGGAAAAGGAACCCATCAGCACAGCAGAAATAAGATTTGCAACCAGCATCATCATCAACTAGCTGGAATGCAGGACATGGGCAAGCATCACTGCTCCAGTAAACCCCAGATACAAGGGAGAGGGTGGCAAAGATCACCTGTGCCTGCAGAGCCAGGCTCCTACTGCTTGTGCGAGTGATGGGGATGGGCCAGAGCCTTGTCCGGAGAGCGAACCTGGACTTCCAGTCAAACAGCAGCAGATCGCAGCTGAGGAGCAGCACCGCTCACCTTCACGCAGCTGGCGTAAAAAAAATCCAAAAGCTGCAGACAAATAAATTCACAGTCTCAGGCTCCTCTACTGGAAGATAGAAATTGCAAGGATCCATAATGTCTGTCTAGAGGCAGGAACAATATTTCATTTGGTTAAAGGGTTCCTTTCCGTTCCCTGAGCACACACATAAATGTTGGTGCAGAAAAAATAAACACAAATGAGTTTTCATCAAAAGCAGACGTGAGCTATGAAATTGTGTTCAATATAGCAGTGATTTTCTCTTCTCACTGCAGGACAGGACTCCAAGGGATGCAAGACAGGAACGCTTGAAATTAAAGTCTTCCTTTTCCATGGCCATTTTATTTTAGTTCTTTCTCTGTGCTTTATTCTTCTTCCTTGAAAGCAAGTCATCGTGTCAGAAGCCCCTGGCACTGCCCTGGCAGCCCCCATCCCACAAGAAAAGGAGGTGGCAGTGGGTCAGTGTCCTCCTTGCCGCTCAACCTGGCCGTGCCCTGCTCCCAGGACACAGATCTGGGGCAGAGCTGACTTTGGGGGAGACTCCGGCTGCAGCCCCAGCCACCTCCCGTGTCAGGGTGTGAGGCAGGGGGGGAGCTGCCTCCCTTTCCAGGAGACATCCAGGGGGGCCTTGCAGGGATGCTGCGGCTGGTGGGCCTCCGGTCAAAACTGCCCCCGGGAGCCAGGGGTGTTTGTTCTCCTCAGCTGGAAGCAGACTAAGCGCTTCCCACAGGTAGATTTGCAATGTTTGGAGGTTTTGTGAAATATTTTTATGCCAACTGAAAATAAGGCAGATACTTGTACAGAGTCTCAAATAACCAAGTGTAGCCAGTCTCTGATATCAGCTATCTTCTGGAGGGCATGGGTTAGCCCAGCTCTGTCTGTAGGGATCTCTCAGTGGGGATTTTAGGCAAGGGGCTGGCGGGTGAGGTTGGGTTTTGGGAGTCTGGTAGGAAGCTCTGTGGTAATGGTGTGGGATGGAGGTCGTTGTCCGTTGGTAATACTGACCGGGCTCTTCTGCTGTAGGCCATGCACTGTGACCTGTGGGTGTCACTGAGGTGCCTACAGCTCCTCAATGGAGCATGGCTTTGGTGTCACGAGGGCCCCTGCCAGCCCGGGGAGGTGACAGTTGCAGCAAGGGCAGGCGGTGGGGTGTCTCCCCCCAGGAGCTGTGCTGTGGTGCCCTGACTGCTCCCACGCCTGCCTGCGTGACCTGGGGGGGCAATACTGATGGTGCAGCAGGGGCTGAGCCAGCACTTCCCCAGAGGTGAGCCTCCTGAATGCTCTCCAGATTGCCGGTAACACAGCAGCCAGCATCGGCTGGCTTATCTTCAATAGCAGCTTTTGCTTCCAACCGGAATCCCATTAGAGACTCCCTCTCTGAATCAAGCTGGTATTAAAGAAGAAACAACTGCCTTAGTAATTAATCAAAATTAACAACAATTATAATCTTGTACCTTTAGAGTGATGAATAACTCACTTGAGGAAAACGGCAATGGCAATGGAAAGGATTCAGAGCCACTCCTAAACACAATTAATGCGGAGAAGGTGGTGGCTAAATGTGCGACAGAGGCATCATGCCTTTGATCAGGCAGGCAGACAGACAGACAGACGTGGGTATGCATCAGAAACACGTGTGTGCTGCCGGTGCAGAGTGTCCCCTCAGGACCCGCAGCCACCCATCTGGTTTGATGTCCCTGCCGGGTGCCAGCAGTGGTGTCTGACCCTTTCCTCTGAAACCCGCCCTCGGCCGTTGCATCGCACTTCTCGGCGGGTGACGCGGCGGTCGCTGCTGGGACACACAACCCCTTGCCAGCGGAGCCAGCCGGGCTGTCCCGCTCCATCCTGCCCTCACCCGGGCACTGGCGGGCAGCCTCACCCCTCGTCTCTGCCCTGAGCCCCCCTGCCCCAGCCCTCCTTTTTTGGGAGTAAGAGGAGCTCCTAGTGCTGGGAAAACCCAAACCCTTGCCGTACCTCACCGGCAGTGCTGTGTGCTGGCTGCTAGTGAGGTTTTATCTCAACCCCCTGGGTCTCCCCAGCACCGCGGCTTGTGCATCATGGGGCTGGCTGATGCTTCGAGTCCCCTGGGCTGGATCCTTTGGTCTCACGGTGGCCCTGTCTGTGGCTTTGGGCCATGTCATGCCTATGGCTTCCAGGCAGGAAAAACCAAACTGGAGTATGAGAGAAAGGAGCCAAGATCGGCAAGTGATTATTTTGTATTTTCTGCTTTTTTTCCCAGAGTTTTTACCTCAGGACAAAAGTGGAGTAAGGGATTAGATAAGGAGGAGCTGAATGAGCTGAGGTTGGATCAGGGGAGACAAAACAAAAAAGGGCTGGGAAACCAAAACCTGTGCTTTGTCATGGGACATCCCTTCCATACGCATGTCGAGGGCAGCATGCTGCTAGATCCACCAGAGAGCACGGGGTACTCCGGGCAGCTGGGTTATCGGGGAATAAAGCTATCTTCTTTTTGGATGAAAGCCACCTCCTGTGCTGCAGTTGCCCTGTTTCAGGGTATAAGCTCAGCCTTGGTGAAATTAAAGGTGCTCCATGGCTGATCTGGTTTTCTGCACCTTGAATCGCATGGTTCTGAGATACAGGAAAACATCACCAGTTCCTCCTCTCCACTCTCCTCCGAGTTTTCTCAGCTGTTAGCACGAACTTGTAAGTGACACTTCCTGTAAGAAGGCTGTTTATAAACAGATGTGCAATAATGTCAGGATCATCCTTAATTTAGTAGCCTTACACAAATTTGTCTTCAAATCCTTTGGCTGGCTAATTCCTCTTTGAATTCCATATAGAAGCACATGGTGATTCATCATTAAAATAATAATCACTATACTGGCTGCACATGGTTTAATATTTCGGCAAATAAAGAAGAG